TGCCAGGAGAACGGTACATTTCAGACTGCATTGTGCCGACTGTGAAATTTGGTGGAGGGGGACTTATGGTGTGGGGTTGTTTTTCAGGAGCTGGGCTTGGCCCCTTAGTTCCAGTGAAAGGAACTTTGAATGCTTCAGGATACCAAAACATTTTTGGACAATTCCATGGTCCCAACCTTGTGGGAACAGTTTGGAGCGGGCCCCTTCCTCTTCCAACATGACTGTGCACCAGTGCACAAAGCAAGGTCCATAAAGACATGGATGACAGAGTCTGGTGTGGATGAACTTGACTGGCCTGCACAGAGTCCTGACCTGAACCTGATAGAACACCTTTGGGATGAATTAGAGCGGAGACGGAGAGCCAGGCCTAATCGACCAACATCAGTGTGTGACCTCACCAATGCGCTTTTGGAAGAATGGTCAAAAATTCCTATAAACACTCTCCTCAACCTTGTGGACAGTCTTCCCAGAAGAGTTGAAGCTGTAATAGCTGCAAAAGGTGGACCGACATCATATTGAACTCTGGGTTAGGAATGGGATGGCACTTCAGTTCATAGTAGGAGTCAAGGCAGGTGAGCCAATACTTTTGGTCATATAGTGTATCTCCAGTATGTGATCTACATTGTCCCCCTGATTAGTCTCTTCATTTGTTTTCACATACATAATAAATGAAATGTCCACTTCAGTCATGAGGTGGAGCCGTTGTATATCTCCAGGAAGACAGTAAGAACGTATGGCTGTCCCTCAGCTCTGGATTTGTCAACATGTCAATGCTGTGGTGGGTCAGTTCTTCGGTCTGAAGGTTCTAGGTTTGGTCCCTCCTCTTTGTTCCCTGTGGGCTCAATTCCTGAGCCATGTTTTGATTATCTTCACATGAAATGTCAGTCAATCTTTCAAGGCCTCTGGGCAATGTTCCCTGGATTTGACTTTGTACCCGCCAGTCGATAATAAAAAAGAATTGACCTCACTGCCGCCTCTAACTGCTCTAACGTACTGCTGGTCACTCACTTCATCACTGCTGTTTCCTTATTATTGGATTTTCACAGTAGAACGTGTTCATAAGGAACATGCCAGTAGAGAAGTGGATCTATAGCCATGGCCAGAATGAGGAGGAGGAGGTGGAGGTCAACAGTTCAGTCCTTTATGTGAGAAAGTCAACATATTTCTAAAAACATAAGGACCCATTCTCTCCTCCATCTCCTCCATACTGCTCCCTGCTCTCTTCTTCAATGATGTCTCCATCAAAAGAAATTCTTCACTGTGGAATTCCTTTGACCTTTGACACTATGTCACAACCTGCTTCTTAGTCTGGTCTAAAGACTGAAATACACCTCCTTCAGATGTTCTTTCAGGAAAATGCTTGAGATGGTTCTGGATTTGAACCCGTTGATGAGCTTCAGTCGTTTGAACAGATTTCCATTCCAGTTTGGTTCAAAATGTGTCGTTTGCTTAGATTTGAAAAGACTAACAATACCTGCGGGAATGACATCTGTCTGGGTATTTGTTGACTCCTACAAAAGTCTGCCAAATATTCCGTATTAAATTGTGTTTAGTACAGCAACTAGTAGTATGGCCACACTGAGAAAAAAGAAACATCATGGGAGTAAAGCTGCG